GCTCATTGTGTGTGTGTGTGTGTGTGTGGGGTGGGTGAGGGAAGGACGCGTGTGTGTGTGTGTGGGGTGGGTGAGGGAAGGAGGCGTGTGTGTGTGTGTATGTGTGTGTGTGTGTGCGTGTGTGTGTGAGCGCGCCCGCACACGTGGGCATCAAGTGTGCGTGTGCGGATGACACCGGTCATCAAACGCGACTGGAACGCCCCTGACTTCGTCCGTCGGCCGACGACGCCATCCCTCCCACACCCGTCCCCTCCCCCGAAAACACACCAACCTGTTGAACGCAGCTTCAGCCCCCCTCAGCTCCTCCAGCAGCTCCCGGCTGTCAGCCAGCTCACGCAGCACGCGGTACGTGTCGCGCACGGCGGCGTCTGAAAAGCGGTTTCGGCGATTTAATTGGGAGGTTTTGGCGATCTCAGGGGGGAGTTGTTCCTTCCGTTGAACCGCGGGCCCCGCGTGCGTGCAAGGCAGCCCTTTGGCGGGCGCTGCTGCCTGGATTATGTTGCCACGGCCCTGCCATCTGTCGCGGCTTCGGGGGCCCCCCAGAGTGCCGTCAGCCTTGTCTTGTCTCACCGGCCCTGTAAGCCATTCTGCTGTAGCAGAGCTCTATGAATTGGGGCACGAGGATTGTGTAGAAGGGCAGGTGGGCCAGCACGTGGCCGCGCCACTGGGGGCCGTAGCAGCCCTGGGGGGCGGGGGGCGGAGAGCGCAGGGGAGGGGACGAGAGGGAGTCGCCGCACGTGTACGTTGTGCGGCGCCGTCTGTGGAAGGAAAACGGTGTTCGCGGCGTGGCCAGCCGACGGCGGAGTTGCTCCCAACACGTGCAGTAAGGGCGCGGTGTGCTGATGTAGGTGGCAGGCGGGGCCGGCACCCGGGCGCAGGGCAAGAGGAGGGGGGAACCCCTGCACCATGTCAGGTTGATCAGGACACGACAGCTCAAAAAAGAGTGTGCCCGCACATGCCTCGCAACGCACACGTGTCCAGCCGCCCCCGCCGTCCCCATTTGCCCCCACCCCCCAGCACCCACCCGCACGGCCTGCGGC